CCCAGGTATTCAAAAGTTGGTCCCACGGTATGACCAATGTCTCAATTCCGGTGGCGAATATGTTGAAAAATAGCTGGACACTTGCTGTATCTGTTGCAATAAATATTTCCATGAAATTGTGTTTTGTTTCTGTAAACGGCCCCAGGGAAACTTACTTTGAGGACGCGCCTCGTACAAACATCTCACATGTGCTCAGTTTCAATTGTCTTATTATCGTTCTACCTAATTTATTATCTTCTTTGCTACACAACCTACCATTTTAATTCATAACAGAACAAGAAGAAGACAAATTACTACCATTACCACTACTACTCACAGTTTAATATCTGAGGAATGAACAAGTTCTTCCCTACTGTTCAAACCATAGACAACCAACCAAAGAATAGAGCCTCCCGAATTCCTTGTGGACTTCAAGTTACCCAATTGTCTGTAACTAGTGTCATCATCATCATCATCATCATCAGCAATAACTGCAGCAGACAGTGACTTAACATTATATTCAGTGATGGAGGAAATTTTCTGTAGAATTGCATTTGTGTCTTCTAATATAGATTCTGCTACCTTGACGACTAGAAGGTTGTCATGGTTTAGGATTTTCACCTGAAAAAACATAACATTAACTGCACAAACATTTAAAAAAGTAATATCTAAATAAAACTAGGTGGTAGGGGAAAGTTTGGAGGGCACTGGTGAGTTCGGTGATGAATCTTTAGGTTCTGTAAGCCATCTAGTTAGTTAGTTAGTTTGGTAGGGACAGTTTGGATGTTTGTACAGCAGAATTACCGGGCTGGATGATTGGGGTTTGATTCCCAGCAGGGGCAAAAAATTTTCTGTTTGTCACTGTCAGACATGCTCTGAGGCCAACCTAGCCTCCTAGCCAATGAATACCAAGGGTATTTTCTCCAAGTGTTAAAGTTACCACTGCACATAGCACAACAACTCAGAAGACAGCCATCTTCAGGCTCACTGCCGTGAAAACCTCAAATCCTACACGATGTAATTATGTTGGTCACCAATGGATGACACTACTTGGATACTTGGACGACCCGTTCTTCAAGTGCCTGAGCACTGCGGGACCCAACTTTTCGTTGGCTCGATCTATAGACATTCGGTAGGTCTCCTTGGACGAGGGATCGGCCCGTCGCAAGGCCTCTACCTGTACACACGACAAACATCCATGGCTCGAGTGGGATTCGAATCCACGGTCCCTGCGACCAAGCGGCACAAGGCCCACGCCTCAGACCGCGCGGCCACTGCGGACCCCATGGATGACACAGGTCTACATAATGTTTTGGGAGTTGGATGTGATGCCATCTTTGGTTGAACACAGGTAAACGCTAACAGGGTTTGCTCCATTTTATAAATTACTTAATTGAAGCCATCAGATACAACACATTACATTTAATTGTCAAAACAAAATCAGATATTGAGATGTTTATTACCAAACATGTTTCGGCTCCATGGAGCCATCATCTACCTTTATTTAAATACCAACATATACTTGTCATTCATTGAGTAGTTTGACATAAAATCTGCTGCACTGAATTAAAAAGAATAAAACGGTCGAAAATTTAAAATATTGCCGTTAGCCAACCAGTATTTCGACATAAACATAATATCTTTAAGTTTAAATTGAATTAAATTAAATTATGCTACATTATCTTGTCAGCCAACTGGTATTTCAACACTAACAGTGATGCATCTAATTTTTAACTCTCCACATTTCAGTCATATCAAGTCAATGCGAGATATTTTGTTTGACACAATTCTATCAATAATAATCATATGCTGGCATTTCTATATTTGTGCGTTTAATAACGTAACTGGCAGATAATACTCGTGCACATTGTAATCAGCAGTTTTTCCTAAGGACCTGAAAAGATGATACTCTTGACAATAGTTTGATGGAGGTGAAACATGTTGGGTTATAAATAGCTAAATATCTGATTATTTTGACTTTAATTAATTTTTTAATTTATAGACATGGAAGGGATATTTTAAAAATTCCTCATTTTTATTTATTTTTTCTGTTTGTCTAGTGTCACTTTCTGAATGTAACGACAATGTTTAATGCTTACTTGTTATACGAACAACTGCTACTTCAAATTACCTACCAACCAGTACTCATGTGTGCAATAATTATATTCAGTTTTGTTGAAATAAGTTGTGGCATTTTCTATCCAAGATATTATGGTTTAATTTCCTCCTATACAAACACATGAAGTCTCAAGGAAATAAATTTAAAAATAAACACTTCTAGGAAATGCTTGTGTAACGCTATTCATATGATGAGAGTTTTCCCAGCACACTGATACGCACATTAAAGCTACACGTAAAAATGCCTCAGTTAACAGACTTACTGCGACCACAGAATACACGGAAAGGAAAAAGTGAACTGGGAGGCAAGAAAAATGCAAATAATATTGAAATGAATAATTAAATATTAATAATCTTAAGCCCTATATCTGGTGTATTCTGATATGTTTTGTGAAATTAATTAAGTTAACTGAGGTCACAATTGAAGATTCCTAGCCAAACGTGACTATGTGACCTCATTTGAGAATTGCTGCCATGATCATTACTGCCTGATGTGTCAGTGCGTCAGAACTTACGTTGACTTCAAGGGGTTCTCCTTCGCCTTCGGCATCACTTGCATGAACTGTGAAACGTGTGTCCTCATATTTGAAGGCTCCTGCTATTGGATAAATTACTCCAGTTTCTTCGCGTATAGCGAACTGATCAGCCGGCAGCAAACTGTACCTTATTCTGGCATTCTCTCCCTCGTCGATATCCGCGGCCTGAACAAAAGCAGTCATACAACACAATAGGATGAAATATTTGCAGACTGTATGCAAAGAAACACTTTTATTTAAAAGTAGATGTGCTACACAGTAACTCAGACCTGTGATTCTAAACTCTTTCTCAGTCAGTGTATCGTTTGGTATCAGAGCGAACTTCCCTGCAACCTTTTCCAATGTGGACTTTATCTCCATGGTATGGTAAACATACAAAATGTGCATCATAAAAACAACAAGATAGTCTGATTGTGGGCTCCTGTCAGTACAGTAATGCCACTTCGTGTTCCATAAAACACAGCAAATCTGACTAGTTGAATGATATTTAGCTTCTCAAGAATGACTTTTCTCCATGAATTAATTAGCTGCTGAAATTTCAAAAATTGTCACTCTGTCCAACATTGGACTATAATGCCATTACTTTAATGACTGTGTTCCACTGCCCCAATTTTGGCATTAATACAAGATTTCTCTGTGCCTTTTGCAACGTCCTCACATGAACCAATCTTACAAACTGTATCTGGTAAACCTAGATTCTGTATCTTATTCCTCTGAAGAAAGCATGAGTACGCACCTGGACCTGTGTTAAGAAAGGTGGCAGCAATTGCCTGGTAATCTCGGCGTTGGGGTAACCGACTGTAAGTGGTGATGCTATGGTACTGAACTCTGGACGGTTATCATTTTCATCTTCAATTTTAAGTACAATTACTGTCCTCAATGCATTGTACTCAATGCTGCCAACTTCATCGATTGTAGACTGCGGCCTTCAAGCAAGAACCGAACATTGATTTTATTTCATACCTGAATTAAGATTATTTCACTGCCTAAACCATACATGTAAAATGGCCCACCGATCATACCTGTCCATGTTGCTTGTTCACACATAAGAAGACGAAACTGCTGAATGGATTTTCACATATTCCAGTGGGGGGGGGGGACAGGTAACAAAAAAGCATCTTGTTTCTGTACACAAAAGTGACTTGGTAGGGATTCAAAACAAAGCTAATTCTCACATGGAGAATTTCCAGCCATTCAAAAAGGCCAAAGAACAAAGTTGCGAACATGTCCGAATTGTTACCTGACTTATTCATAACCTTTATTATGTTACGCAAACTGAACAGAGAGAACATAAGAGTGTTATCATGTAAATGCCTAAAGAAATCATGATGTGAGAGAACAGCAGTGTCCATATGGTGAAACTATGTAGCGAACTTAAGTGGTACCCTGAATATGGACGTAATATATTCCTCCAAAACACTAGTAACCAACCGCAAGAATACAATGTCACAGCCTGCAAGACCACAACCGGCATTTTCACAGCAGTAAAGACCTTAAATGCCATATCTAAAAAACCGATACTTGAAGACGGTTGGTCTGTTGAATTCTTGCAAACTAAATACTGGACAACAACGAGAAGAGGGATTCTCCAACTACTATGATAGCTGCCGACCCACAACCATCTTAAGCTCAACTTCCATGTACAATTTTTGGGTATGGGCATACATTGTGATGTAATTACCGATGAAAGCAAATTATTATGCGATTTCTCTCAGTTCCTTCCTATATCCTATGCCATCGTCTCCAGAAACCTAGTAGCAAAAGAGTGGGACATCATACTACAGACACGTACAAACATTATTATAACACTGCTTACATTTACCTTATATTCCAGAGATCAGATAATGTTTTTATTCCAGTACTGCTTTCACAGTTCACTTCAAGGTGTAGAATAATGTCAGTATTTGATTGGTCTGGGAAAAGGTTCTCATCCTCGCGGTCAATTACATTATTCAAGATAACCTCTTCACCAACAGTGAAGTACTCTGAGAAACAAGACATACTTAGTAAATTTGAGGTTATCATGGCAGCAAGCATGAGGATCGCTTTCTTCTGGGATGTAGTCTGGCAGAAGTTTACTGATGTTTCAGATGTCCTTGTTGCCTCCATCATCAGGAGGATGATGATAGTCAGCAAGTACCTCTGAAATGTTGATAAACTTCTACCACTCTACACAGCACAACAAACCAGGTGACAGCCATCTACGACAGACGTACTTAATTGGGTCCCTCAATCATGGGGCTTTATGGGCGTTTCTAGAAGGGTTAAATACGACCCCACTGCAGTTTTACAGACATTAGACCATCTTGGTACTTTAATACGAGACGCGTCCTCAAAGTAAGTTTCCCACTCGTCCCACAGCTAGCAAACCTTATATTGCGCGAAGCGACTGTGCGTACGTGATAGAGCAATGACGTAGCATGGCGCATGCACTAACGGAACTTCCCGCGTTCTCACAGTAGCATCGTTGCAGCTGTTGAAGAGGGAGGTTCTTATTCCAGCTCCCGCCGACTGTGAAGTGCGGCCAGTGATAACGCTAGGCCGCAC